TGGCCTAGTGGCAAGAAGCTGCACTGCAATCCAAGAAGTGCACAGTTCGAATCCACCAGATGCTCTGCTGGAGAAGGAGGAACAATCTCCTCCTGTACCAGTCAGATCTGATTTGACCGTACACACAAAAAAATAATAAAATAAAATAAATTAAAAAACCCAAAAAAAACCCCAGGATCCCTATGCAGGGAAACACCTAGACTCAAGGGTTGCTGACAAGGATTTTCCCTCTGAGCAGATAAACAGAGAATGCAGTCTCATGGAGTTTGAAGCATGAATTTATCAGGTCCTAAACAGGAAGCTCTGGTGGCCTAGTGGGGAAGGAGTTACACTGCCAACCCAAAGGCAGGCAGTTTGAATCCACAAGCAGCTCCATGGGAGAAAGATGGGGAGTCTCCTCTCATGCGACTTACAGCCTCTGAAAAGTCACTGGATGGTCTGCTGCGAATGGATTCTGACAGGAAGACACAAAACAACCACTACAGCTCCTGAACAAACAGTGAGAGAATGAATCCCGGTTTTGTTAAGGCTGCCCCACTTGTGGTATTTCTGTTACCATTCTAGATAGGAAGATGGGTGGTCAAATGATTAAGGGAGGTTCTGTCCTAATTGGAAAGAAAGCAGGAGTGTTCTAAACACTGCCCTGGGAATGTCTACTGGCATGGCTGAGAATTCCCCAAGACCTTGTGATTTCACTGTCTTTAAAAGCCCCAGAAAGCCAGACAGAATTCAAGGCCGAGACAGACGGAACTGTGGACAGGTGGTCTGGAAGAGACTCCAACAGAGTCTGGTGTGAAGACTGAGGTTGGAAAGACAGGCAGAACATGGAGCTGACCCTGACTGACATACAGAAGATGATTTTTACTCAAACAGCCTGGGTCTGAGAAGACAAAGCCAGGGGTCTAAGAGGAACAGATAATCAATACATAATTCTATTTTTAACTTCCCTGTTTAGTCCTGACATCAGTTACCCACACAGAGCTTCTTTCCCTGAACTTTGTCACCTAGAGCTGAGTCAGATCTCACAGAGAAGGACAGTGTCCTTTGTAACGCAACTTGCAGCCAAACAATAACACAGATCTAATAAGATAATCAATAGCACCGGGGAGGGACACGCTCTGTAGAACAAGCAGGTATGTTGTGTCATCAGAAGAGCAGCATTGTCCCTGGGACAAGCTCAGAAGGCAGCATTTGGTAGAAAGAAGTACAAGTGGAAACAGGGGAACACACGGGGGGGGCGTGGAAGTATGCTGTTACAATATGGGGTTTGCAAACCTTTTCAAGAAGCATAAAGTGGCCTCTCTGCCTATTTCTTTACGAGGAGTGAGGTCTGGCTCTTTGAGGATGTATCTTTCTGATAAATTTATCTTTACTATTAAAAAAAGCCCGTACAATGTATGAATGGCTGTGGATAAGCTTTTGTTCTGTAAACTTTCACTCACATCACAGTGGGGAAAAAAATAAATTGGGGGGCTATTTCACATCATCTTCACACTATTAAATAGTCCATGTGACATCCTTGCTTCTGTCCTGTAAATAGGAAATCCTCAAAGGTTCCCGGCCCTCCTCACTCCTGACCTGGCTCCCACTTCTTTCACTGCCCTTCTTTTTCTCAGGGTCTCTGTATCTGTCCCTCTCTGGGTCTCTGTCCCCCTCCCTCTGAGTCTCTGTCTCCATCTCTAACCCCTTCCTCTGGGTTCCTTCCCTCTTTGTGGATCTCTGTCTCTCTCTCTTTGTCTCTCGCTCACTTTCCGTCCCTGCCTCTCTCTAAGTCTTTGACTTACACCCTCTGAATCTCGTTTCCTTTCTCTGAGTCTCTGTCTCTCTCTCTCTCAATCTCTTTCCCACTCTCTCATTCTCTGTCCCTGTCTCTCACTGGGTCTTTGCCTCCAACCCGCTGGGTCTCCTTTCCTCTTTCTGGATCTCTGTCCCCTTCTCTCTGAATCTCTGTCTCTCGCTCGATCGCTCTCTGTCCCTGTCTCTCTCTAGGTCTTTTTCCTCCACTGTCTCTCTCTCTTTCTCTCTCTCTCTGTCCCTGTCTCTCTCTCTGGTTCTTTTCCCCCCACCCTCTGTATCTTCTTCCCTCTCTCTGATTCTGTGTCTCTCTCTGTCCCTGTGTCTCTCTAGGTCTTTTTCCTCCTCCTCTCTCGCTTTCTCCCCACCCCCAATCCTCTGGATCTCCTCTTCCCTCTCTCTGATTCTGTCTCTGTCTCTCTCTCTCTGTCCCTGTGTCTCTCTGGGTCTTCCCCCACCCCACCCCCCGCCCCAGATCTTCTTTCTTCTTTCTGGATCTCTCTCTCTCTGTGTGTCTTTGTCCCCCATCCCTTCCCTCTCTCTGATTCTCTGACTCTCTCTCTCGCTCCCCCCCCCACCACCGTGTCTCTCTCTGGGTCTCCCCCGCCACTGTCCTCGATCTCTTTCCCTCTCTCTGTATCTCTGTCCCACTCTCTCTGAGTCTGTCTGTCTGTCTGTCTGTCTCTCTCTCTGGGTCTTTGCACCCCACCCTCTTCCTCTGGATCTCCTTCCCTCTCTCTGGATCTCTGTCACATACTCCCCCCACCCCGCCCCCTTCCAGTCCCTCTTCCTTCCTTTCTGAATCTCTGTTCTCCAGGACTCCCAGCCCGGAGAGGGGGTGGGGGGCGGTGCCCACACTTCCTTCTGCTCCTCACTCACCCGGGTGTGTTTTTCCTACACAGAGGTGTGGCGGACCCTTCAGACAGGCACTCACATCTCACAGGGGTCCCCAGGACCTACGCCTCTCCTTCCTGTCAGGTTTGGGGGCCTCCAAGACTCCTTTCCAGTGTGACTGCTCCCCATCAGCGAGCCAAGCACATTTCCTCAGAGTGGGCTTTCCAGAAGATGACAAGCTTTCATTTCTTCTGGGCACCGAGTCCCTCTCATAAATCCTCCAGCATCCATATTTATCCTTTAACCCAAAATCTCTCTCTGTTGAACTGTGGAGGGGTCCTGCTGGCACAGTGGGTTAAGCCTTGGGCTGCCAACCCAAAGGTTCTTTGGTGGTTCGAATCCCCAGCGACTACGTGGGAGAAGGCTGAGATAGTCTGCTTTCCTAAGCATTTACAGCCTTGGTTTCCCCATCAGCAGTTCTACTCTGTCCCAAAGGGTTATGATGAGTCAGAATGGGCTCAGTTGCAAAGAAATGGGTTTGGTTTTTAATCTGGGGGGGGTTGGGGTTGAGATATAAAGGAATCACCTGAGACTATGACTATGATCATATGACCTCATGATCTCCTGGGAAGAGTGGCTCAATTCTCTTTCCTTCATGCAATCACTGCATGAGACGAAATACGGGAAAATAGGTGTGGGAGGAGAGGAAGAAGGGGCAACTGGCTTGTCAGGGTTACATGAGAGTCATTTCGCCCCAAAGTCCAGCAGCAAGATAGAATCCGGGCTCCTGGTCTCCTCCTCCCTTGGACACAGAAATGCAGACCCTCAGGCCAACCTCTCAGATGTAGGAGTTGAGGCTGAAATTCCCCTTCCTCACTCAGATCTAAATCCAGGCCAGTAGACCCAGGAGTCTAGTCTCCGTTACACTCAGAATCCTGGTCCCCAGCTCCCTTCTCTCCAGGAATCTAGGTCTCTATTCTCTTCTCTGTCAGCCCCAGGAACCCCAGGGCCCCTCCTCCCTCAGACCAGGGTATCTACATTCTCATTTCTGTTCTTCGGATTCCCCAGTGTCCAGATGTCCATTTTTCTAGTCCTGCTGGATCTAAGTGTGCCATCCTTAATGGCACCTTCACTCCCAGAACCCAAGCACCTTTAACCCAACTCAAAAGTCCAAGCTGTGTCCCGTCACTAAAGGAACTAAACCTATATCTCTCACGAGGTGTGTCTCTGCAGTGTCACACACATAAAAACCTCTCACTGTTTCAGCAACTGAGAAATACAGTTCCATGATGTTAACTGTGGTGTTTGCCTAAAAGTTGGCTTGTGTTTAACCATTACGGTTATCCCCCTCTGGAATCCAGCTACCTTAACTGCAGACACATGGTCTTGCAGTTAATCAACATGATCTTGTAAATCATCAACAGCTGTGAGACTAGGAGAAGAGAAAGAGTGCTTCCCAGACTGAGTGAAAAGACTTGAGATGGGCAAGACTTGTGGTGGCACGACCCTGGTAAGAGCAAGACCCTGGTGAAGGTGGTGGAGAGACTGTGGCGTTGCTGTGGAGAAACTGTGGCAAGGTGTAAGCAGAGAAGCCCTGAGATAAAGGCCATTGTTAAAGATTTCTGCTGTTCTTGTCAGGTGCTGACTTACAACTACTCTGAGGCAAGCCTTGCTGGATAATTTGGATTTGACTGCTGAACTGAAACCAGACCTAAACTAACTCATTGAGGAATTGTGCCTTGGAACTTGGACTAAAACCTGGACTTGTATTGGTGATTTTATTTGCCTCCCCCACTCTCCAACTTACTTCCCTAATAAATTCCATTCTCAGTACCATAGCTGTGAGTCTGTGAGTTGACAATGAATAAATGAACCTCTGTCTGTTGATGTGGCTCAAGAGGTACCATGGGGCTGGGTTATGGGATTTTTATCTGCTTTTTGCTCTGGGGCAGTGAGGGGCTGTGCAGGTCTTACTCCCTCTGGCCCTTTCAAAAAGATGTTTATGGTCCCGTGCCCCCAAGTCCCGTTTTCTCCTCTTTAGACAAAGGTGGGGGACAAGAGGAGGAGTGAAGGTGTCCCTCAAAGGATCTAGAGAGTGGAAAGTCCCTGGGGACAGCAGAACAGAGCTGAACACAGTCCCAGGGGAGGCTGGGACCTCCCCACCGCCTTACAGCAAAGGGGGCAGCGTCAGGGTTTGTGGAGTGAGAGGAAGCAGGTGTCCCCTCTTCCTTCAAATAATCTTTTACACACGCACTCACTTAGATCTTCCTCAGACTCTTTATTATCTCACATAACAAAAAAAAGAAGAAAAAATAAATAATATAAATAACCCAATAAATTAAAAAAGAATGGCCCAGTAATGATTTGTGACTTCAGGAAGCGAAGCTGGGACTTCGGCCCTGTGAGGGACCCACCATGCTCAGGGGGTCGGAGGAGTCCACATCAGGGGGTTCGGGGGCCAGGATCCCCAGAGGCTCTAGGGGTGTCTGGAGCTGGCCTGGCAGTGGCAGGAAGCGGGCTGGGCCTTGAGGGGCCGGGTCCCCGTGTGGGGAGTTGTTGGGGGGCAGGCGGAGTGGGAGGCCATGGGCCTCGGATCGGTAAACATTGTATCCGTCCTCAAGAAGCAGTTCTCTGAAGCTGCAGGCGCCTGGGTCGAAACGGAGCTGGGGGACATACAGAGAGAAGATAATAGGGACGATCTGATTCCTAAGGACACACTCCATCTGGGGGGCTCAGGAGTCCAAGCTCTAGCTCTTCCTTCCACAGACCCAGGAATCAGAATCATCCTCCTTCAGACCCTAGCATCCAGCCCTCTGCCCCTTAGACCTATGAGTTCAAGCCCCATTTTCCCTTGAATCTCGGAGTCCCTGCCCTTCTGAATTTGAACTCTGGATTGTAGCTTCTCCTTCACACCAAGAATCCAGGTCCTCAGCACCTCCTCTCTCAGACCCAGGAAATTCGGCCTTTAGTCCCCCCTCTTCCTTCTGCCCTGGGAGCCCCCAAATCCAGCCCCCTCTTCTCAGAAATTAAGCAATAAAACCCAGATTCCTCCTTTACATCAGGGTAGTCCTATAAAGCCCACATCCCTCCTCCTATGTCACAGAGAAAGTTCCAGCTCAGGGTCCTGTCGGGAGGCTGACCGAGGGTCTGGCCAGCACCCAAGGTCCAGGTCACTTCAGAGGCCAATAGGAATTCAGAATGTTCCTGCACTGGGCCTGGGCCGGGCACACAGAAGCCTGTGAAGTCAGGCACGAGGGTCACAGATTCAGCCTCAAAGACCACTCGGCCACTCACTCACCTCACTGGGGCCTGTAAGGGGGGAGCCACCTCAGTTGTGGTATCCCCTTCTCCCAAACCCTGACCATGGCAGTTCTCACCCTGGTAGCAGCCAGGCTGGGGGACCAGAGAGCATTGATGTCATCCCAGAATGGAGTGTCAGAGAATGCAAGGAGGGGCCCCCAAACTCACCGATCCGTACAGTACCCCATCAGGTCGCTGGCAAAGGAAGCGGGAGGTCTTGACCCCCAGGATCTGAATTATGCCGGGTTTCAAGGCTTTCAGCTCCAAGAGACCTGAACAGAGAATGGGGTGGGGCCCCAGAGAACTTGTCTCAGCTTATCCTGCCTCAGACTCAGGACTCCCCAACCTCAGTGCCCTCCTCCGTCAGACTAGAAGTCCTGAGCCCAGCGACATTTCTATCAAGTCAAGTCCTCAAGGACAGTCCCCTCCTCCCTCAAATTCAGGAGCCCTGGCCCCAGCCGCCTCCTCTATCAGACCCTAACCCTTTCCTCTCTTAGATTCAGTAATCCTAAAATATGTCCCTCCTCCGTCAGACCTGGGAGTCCCCAGACACAGTCCCTTCTTCTCTCAGACCCAAGATTTGGGGTCCCCAGTCCCTCCGTCCCCAATGCTGGAGTCCAGCCCCGCCCACACTCACTCTCAGGGCTCCGGTGGGCGGCCCCCACCACTGTGCCATCCGCTCTGATCTCCAGGTGGGCCTCGGTTTCCTGCACGTCATCCGTGTAGAGATAGCGCTGCCGGACCTGGCCTCCGAATTGGAGGAGAGGGCTGGAGTCTCGGATGGGGTACGCAAGACAGGCTCCCAGCAGGACCGCCAGCACAGAGACCCACAGGCCCCGCTGCTCAGAGCCCCACTTGGCCCAGCCCATCAACAGTCCTCTGGCCAGCTCCGGGTGAGATTTTAGGGGCAGGGTTCCAGGCCTGGCCTGCCCTCTGGGACAGCAGGTTCAAGGCTCTGGTACCCGGAATGCCTGGGTCTCCTGGCTGGTGGACTCTTGGCCGACAGGGCACCCAGTCTCCTGGGATCGCTGCATAGCCCCAGAATTTATACCCAGACAGGTCCGCCCCATCACCTTCCCCACGCCTGACCCATGATATCTGACCTAGTTGGCCAGAGCCAGGATTCCACCGTGGCCAGGTCACCTGAATGCATGATGCAATCGGGGGTCCTCCGGCTGGGGGCCACACTCCTGGGTCTGGGGGAACAGGAGAAAAGAGAATGTGATTGCTGTCGTCCTGTGGTGAAGGGGCCTGAGATTCCTGGGGCTGGGCTGCAGAAGCCTGGAAGATCCTGGGGTCTGCGGTCTCAAATTCCTGGGTCTGAGGGAAGAGAGGGTTATAGTACTAGAATCCTGAGTCCAAGGGAGCAGAGGTTGGGAGCCTGGACTCCTGGGTCTGAGGGAGGAGAGACTGGGAGCCTGGATTCCTGGGTCTGAGGGAGGACGACCTCGGATACCCCCTCCCCAGACCTTCATGGAAGTCTGTGGGAAGAGGGAGCTGAGGGCCTGGACTCCTGGGCCTAAGGGAGGATGGAGATGAGGGTCCAGCCTCCAGGTTCTGAGGGAGGAGGGGGCTGGAGACTCCAAGTCTGAGGGAAGAGGGGATTGAGGAGATGAGGATTCCTGGTCTGAGGGAAGAGGGTCCAGATCTCTCTCCTGGAACTGAAGGAGGGGGTGCCTAGACACCAGGAACTGAGTCCCCCCAAATCCTTTTTCTGACTGAGTGGGCCTGATTTTGCTCCCCCTCCGGACAGTCCTTTCTGTTGAAACACCCAGATTTCAGAGGTGGGATGGGGAGCCCTGACAGAGTTTTCTGGCCTCTAAGAGCAGGAAGGGCCACGTGAAAGGGCTGTGGACGTTGGGATTCCTGGCCTCACTTCTGGGCAGAGGCCAGCCAGCTCACCAAGCTCTGCCGTGGCCTCCTCCGCCTCCTCCCTGATGCAATCCTGGTGTTTCTTTCACCAGCAAAGTCGTCCAGGTCCCCAGACAGGTGCACTCAAAACAGCAGAAACGTCAGGGCAGACAAGGTTCTGACTCCGAGGCTGGAGGGAAGTCAGAAACCTGGAGCTGACAAGGGACACAGGGGTTCACCAAATTCCTGAAAGCCCCCAGTCGCACAGGGGCTGAACTTCTCAGACTGGGGAGGGCCTGGGTTGGAGCCGAGCCAGACTTCTGGATCCGAAAAAGGAAGACGCTAGGAGCCCCCCCCCCCAACTTCCAGGTCTGAGGGAGGTAGGGTCTAGTGGGAGTGGGGGGGCTGCAGCTCCTGAGTCTTGGGGAGAAGATGGCCTGAGATAGACTCTTCAGACTTAAGATGAGGATCTTAGAGCCAGACTTTTGTCTGAGGAAGAGATAATTTGGGCTCAGAACTCCTTGTTGTTAAGTGTCGTCGAGTTGCAAGTGACTCATAGCGACCCTATGAAGGAGAGTCCTCAACGCTTGGCTGTCTCTCACCCTCTCTCCAGGTTCACAGGGTTTCTGGAGGCAAGCTATTACGGAAGTAGATGCCACTCCTCCTTCCAAGCTTGTTTTAATCGGGGAGCTCCACCCCACTCTCCGTCTACATTGGGTAACCAACCATTAATGCATTTGACACATCAGTGTCACAGTGTTCAGCCTCACGGCAACCACAAGTGACTAGAAAGGCAACTTGTACACCAGGGCTATACGACCTAGAGGAATGTCTGAACAAAAACAATCAAAGACAGGCCTGAGGGCCGTGGATTAAGTCACCCACCTTTGGCTTGGTAGCATCGCTTTCTATCCACTGGGCCAGCTGATCTCTCTATGTTGATGTTATTATTGTTAAGTGCCGTCAAGTTGCAGGCGACTCATAGCAACCCTATGACAACGACTGCATCTGAACCCTGTCCTCTCCTGTGCCGTCGCTGCGGTCACTGCATATTCATCCATCTCGCTGGTTGAGGGTCTTTCTCTCTCATTGATCCTCCACCTTTCCAAGCATGATGTCCCTTTCCGAAGACGGGACTCTCCTAACAACATGCCCAAAGTATGTGAGACGAAGTTTTGCCATCAGGGGCTCTAAGCAGTACTTTGGCTGCACTTTCTCCAAAACATATTTGAGATCGTCAGTACTCTTCAACACAACTCACGGACATTGATTCTTCTGTCAGTCTTCTTCATCGTCCAGTTCTCAGACGCATAGCAGGTGATTGAAAAGACCATGGTTGGGTCAGGTGCACCTTAGTCTTTAAAGTGATATCATTGTTCCTTAATACTTTGGCGAAGTCCTTCACAGCTGACTTTCCCAATGCAATACTTCTTTTGATTTCTTGGCTGCTGTTAACCATAGGCTTTGATTGTGGATCCAAGTAAGACAAAATCATTGACAAATTCAATCTTCCCTCCGTTTGTCAGGATAGATGCTGCCTATTGAACCAGTGGTGAGAATTTTCATTTTCTTGATGTTGAGAAAAGATCCATACTGAAGGGTGTAGTTTTTGATCTTCACCATTTCAGTTCTTCCTCACTCTCAGTAAGCAAGGTTGTTTTAGCTGCATAATGCAGGTTGTTGATGAGTCTTCCTCCAGTCCTTTATATTCAGAAAGTCCAGCTTCTTGAATTATTTGCTCAGCATACAGACTGAATGGATATGTAGAAAGGATTCAGCCCTGACACATACCTTTCTTAATTTTAAACCAGGCAGTGTTCCCTTGCTCCATCTAGACAACAGTTTCTGGATCTAAGTATGGGTTTCACACGAGTACAGTTAGGTGTTCTGGGATTCTCATTCTCCTCAATGCTAGTCATAATTTGTTATGATCCATACAGTCAAATATCTTTACATAATCAATAAAACAGGTTAAAAATAGAATCTAATAAACAGAATTAAACACGACAAAAATAGACATCATCCTTCTGATATTCTCTGCTTCCAGCCAGGACTCCTCTGACATCAGCAATGATATCCCTGGTACAATGGCCTCTTCTAAATCCACTGTGAACATCTGGTAGTTCTCTGGTTCTCAAGAAGTGATGCAACAGAACCTTCCAAAATGGATAATTGTTTAGGGAAGTTATCCAACAATGGCACATGCTAAATTGCTAGAGATTGCTAAAGATTACTCCCAAACGAGTAGAACAACAGAGAAATGCCAGTGCAATCTTAATTGTTGGTACATATGGTGAGGTGGGCACTGCCTCACAGCTGACCCTCCAGTGGGTTTTCAAAGGCAGTATATATTGCACAAAAAGAGATTGCTCATCTTTCTCCCATTATTAACAATCGTTAGGATTGGTGGACGATCGATCAACAATCTGCATTATGCAGATGACACAACCCTGCTCGCTGAAACTGAGGAGGACCTCATGCACTT